ACTCACTTATTGGAATAGCTTTGATTTTGAAGCCGAGCTGCTTTGCAAAAAAATTTAAAAACAATCCACTGGACTTTGTTTCCAATTTTGAATTGATAACCATTCAAACTTGGAAACAAAGTCCAGTGGATTGTGTTTTTTTTTTTTTACTTTTTCGGAATAACTATGACCTGGATGACTGAGAATCTTCACCAGCAGGCCAAGCTGCTGTTTAATTCAGTCCCTGTAGCCGTTTTGTTACACTACCTGTAGTGCACTGGTAAAATTATCCAGAAATAAGTACAAATTTCTTAAATGAACTGTATTTTCCCTTAAATTGAGCAGGTAAATGAGATAGTTTGCCAATGGAATTAGTATTTTCACTCTTAAAATAAGATAATTAGATAAAATGCTCTTGAAAAAAGACAATCCAGTTGTGTTTTCTTATTTTTAGTGTAAATTGTCTTGTTCCATTGGCAAATTTTATTGTATTGTAAATTAAAGAAATACAAGAATTAAAGGGGTAGGAGTACATAAGTTTTACTTCTTCCTACTCCTTTTTGCACATGTAATAGAGGTATATTAATTTAGGAAAGAAGGGTACCTTGTTTGTTGTTTTTCTCTCCAATGTTTTTAAACATTTTTTTATTGTTTTTTTGTTTTTCTCTTGCATGTTCTAAATAAAGAATAATAAAAAATAAAAAAAAATTCTTTTTTTTACCTCCTCAATCCAAAAACAAATGCATTTATTTTAAGAAAAAATGACTTAACTAAATTTGGACTTTTTCCAGTGTTTGGTTGCTCAGTCTCATCACCGCCTCCAGCTTCTTTAACTCTGGCTGTATAGTTGATGCTGATTTGCTCCGTTTCTGTCTTAATCAGTTAAGTAACATGCTGCTATTGTTTACCAGTAGATTATGAATATATGATTAAATATAACTTGAAGTTGTAGTTAATTGATAGATCATTCAAGATCGAGGGTAAAACCAATTGAATGTTATTAGTTGAATAAGTATAACCGTAATCCATTTACTCAACAGGATTCTTGGACTCTCAAATTCCAGGTGGGCTGCTGGACCGGCTGTTTAAAGACAAATTGTTTCCACCGATTTAGTAAATAAAGGCTGATTTATACTCAGAAATCAGGTCATCTGCGTGTGTGTCGCAGTTAACGCCGATATGCCCCGCCCCTTCCACAGACATTCTGCTGCACCTCTCCAAAATTGTAGGTGACCACAGATAAGAGGCCTCTGATTGGTCAAGTCTACATCCGCTCTACACTATGCATATTTCCTGTTTGGTTCCTTACCGGCTTATTTTGTTTGTATGACCACCATTGTGGAAAACGACTGGTGAAGTTGGACCAGCTAGAAGAGTGAGGTGCGCGAGAACGCTGGGACCGTTTTTCCACCTGGATTCCCACTCTTTTCGCCCTCATGTCCCTCCGTTGTCACACAAACTTGTCCCCACTTCCTTATCGCCTCAGCTTTAGCTAGACCCACAGCTAGTTCCTGATTGGCCCTCTTGCGTTGTGGCATGGAATAACATAGCGCAGACCACGCTTCAATTTTGGGCTTAAATCAAAAATATCTGCGTCATACCTGGAACACACTGCTGCAGGAGGATAACCAGCCCTTAATCTATGGCTATTATCACACTGCAAAAAACATCTAGAAATAAGTAAAAAATGTTTTAAATTAAGTGTATTTACCCTTAATTTGAGCAGGTAAATAAGCTGATCTGCCAATGGAATGAATATTTTTACTCCTAAAATAAGATAATTAGATAATATACACTTGAAATAAGACAAAGCAATTGTTTTTTTCTTATTTTAAATGTAAATTGTCTTGTTCCATTGGCAAAGTGTCTCACTTACCTCCTCAATTCAAGAAAAAATGCATTTAATTTGACCAAAAATGACTTATTTAGATTTCCATCTTTTGCAGTGCAGAGGTATTAATTAACAACTAAAGCAAATTGTCTATATCATACAAAAGGAGGATGGCTCTGGCCTGAGTGATAAACCACTGGCTACACAACAAACACAAACTACTACCGGTTAAAATAATGATGTCTTTATTTCTAACAATCGAGGATAATAGAAAATCTAACATCTATGCCAGCACTACACACTACTAGAAAATAAACATAGACTAAATTCATAATTTGGAAAGAGGGGAAAAGGGTGCTAAGAGTCCGTTTAATGGTTTCTGAGGAGTTTCCAAGATAGACCATATGCCAAAAAAATTAAATGTCTGTTCAAAATAACAGCAGATATAATGAACAGTAATAGATGCCGTTAAAAACAGCATGAAATCATTCAGCTTATAACGGTTAATGTTCATAAATGTATTAGCAATATAGCATTGTAGCAAGTCGGTAAACCTACATTCATATAACCCAGTTAGAGGGGCTTTACTGCGACAAAGAGTTATAAAAAGGAAAATGTTGGACTCCTACCATGCATTCAAAGGAGGTGGAGCAACAGTGCCGGAAAAACTCTGGAGGTTGTGAATCTCATAAATATTGGCTCTTATTTGACCAAAAGGGAAGAGTTGGATTACAATTGATGGCGTACCTTAGTTTTATGAAACTAATAAAATGGCTGCTCCTGTCCTATGGCAAAGAGGAGGGGTGAACTGCAGATATCAGTACAATGTTATTTTGTTTTTTTAACTCAGAAAATGCCCGCCCCTTGCATGTGGTTGCACGAAATTTAAAAAGACTTACAATGCTCTCCATTTGCTCTAATACACCCACCTCAGGACAAAGATAACCAGCAAATCAAGATGAAAGAAACACATAAACTCACTCGCTGCAAGTTGCACATCATTCATTCACACCATGAAACCAGTTTACAACTCCTTCAAATGAACCATCAGCTTAAAAGGACCAACATTTTAATAAAACTCATGCAAAAGCCTGATCTTAACTTTGCTCGCCCAAGATAAGCGCCTTATTCACGCATTAGATGCAATGAAAAGGTTTTACTGCGAGTCGATTTTAAAGATTCTGGAAGAAATTCAGCTGTTATTGATTTTTATTCTCCAGATACAGATTATTATATTGTAAAAAAACTGTAGAATGTAATACTCTATTTCTTTTATTTCCCTATCTGTTATTTTTATACACTTTCCTAAGCTATATATTGTGTGACTTCTTCTATTAAACCTTTGTTTATTTAAACACCACAATTTCCCCATTGTTAGACAATAAAGGGGTTTTCTATTCTATTCTATTCTAGTTGTCGAGGTGTATTATTTGTTTTCATCATTTTCTAGAACCTAACGCCTGAAAGTAGGCGTTAATTGTAAAACTCAGACTCTCACGTTAGAGGTTGTTGGTTCAAGACCTGTCTTTGACTTTTGAAAGTTGCGATTAAACTTAATTCTTTTGGCTGATGAGACTAATTTGCATTGTTTTGCCCGAGTAAAAATATAGATTGGGTAAATTAGGTCGGTTTAGCCGAAAGATTGGTTGAACACAACTTCCAACCTGATTAAAACCAAAAAAATGTGGAAAAACTATCAAGTTTGAATAAAAAGGACTAACACCTCTTATTTTGCTCATCATTACCCGATTTGCACAAACACTTTCATTGGCTGCTTGAGTTTATTTCACTAAAATGGCAGAAAAACTGTGCACCTTATGAAATTTTACACTTAAAAAAAAACTTACAAAGGATTTCATTATATACACCAACCATTAACAATTTCAAAGGAACTTAAAAGGGGTAAAAAAGAAAAACAACTGCAAAAAAATCACAGATTTTGTTACAAACTGTAGTTCTGCCTTCCACCAGTAGGTGGTGACATGTTCACATGAAGCCTAGTGAACCGTGGGGATCGTTGAAGCAATTTGGCCTCATGAGGCTTCATCTCACCATCACTAGGGGAGAGGCATGGAACAATGGCGGCCATATTGAGTTCAAATGCTGAGACAGTTTGTAGTTTTATGTGTATAAACCTTGTTGCTGTTAAATGTCCTCTAAACCAAAGGAGTCTCCTGTTACCAGATACTAAACATATGATTATAAATAGCCAAATGTCACCAGCTCTAGCTCCTTTGGGGAGATCTCAAGTGACGGATGGTTTTCTTACAGTCTGACATGGTTTATAGCTTTGCAAGTCCTAAGTATGAAAAGAAATGTAATATTCTGAGGATATTTTTAATCAACACAGCTTTCAAATACAGCAGCCGGCCAAAGACGGCGGCATTCAGCTCGATCCGTCTGTCATCCGTCAGCTTCTGCCTTTCATGTACGGTTCATAGCTTCAAGACGTTCTTAGTCCTGGAGTTTGTTAACATATCTGCAGAAACTGTTAATACGCTCCAGTTTATGCCTTGGGGATTTAAAACCCTCAGGTTCTGTGCCTGTCCAAAAGTCCAAAAGAAAGTTGAAACTCTTTAAAGCCCCTCCCCCCGAACCCGAATCAAAACATAAGATTTGCTACCCAGAGAAGATGCAGGAGATAAATAATTTATGGGTTTAAATTCAGCCACCGTCAATGTTTGCAGCCTGCTTGGAGCTTTTTCCTCGTACTGAGATGCATTTGATGAGCGGCATTAAAGAGCCGATGGCCTCTTTAAATCAAGGCTTGTAACACATTGATGATTTTGTCGTATTTTCCTTAAATCAAATCTTGCAATTTCCCATGAATAACTTGGCACATGGTTTTGCATTGATACTCTTTTTAAAACATGACAAATCAATCCGTTTCATTAGAAATTAAACAACCTTGTACAATTTACAGAAATAGTTACTTTTGTAAATTTTGAAATTGTGTTTATATATCAAAAATCTTGTTTAATCAAACCCTTTTAAGAAGTTAAGCCTTTTTTGATCAATCATGTTTCAAAGTCTATCAAAGTGGATCCACGATACTCTGAAGGCGATTCTTCTCCATCGACTGATCCAAACATTTATTAAAATAATGCATTTTGTTAATGCACCATCAATATGCTGATGTGAGAAGATGAAATGTAAACAACCTTCATTATTGTTTTGTTTTTCTCCCCAGAGCTTCCATATGGTTGGGAGAAAATCGATGACCCCATTTACGGCAGCTACTATGTCGAGTAAGTTTAGTGGATCCTTTGATTTTCCCGCGTAGCTTGTTGGTGCAGCATTAATCATGTTTATTATGAGGAGTTCGAAGAAGGAAATTCTTCATTTAAGCTCCTGCAGGCTTTGAAGGAAGTTTATTAGCCAGTGAGGGCTTTTTTTCTATTAGCCTGCGTCTGTTATGCTCACGGTTCTTGTATTCATTAATAGATGAATTCAGGAGCCGGCGTTTGCGCTCATGTGTCTCAGATGAACTGCTGCAGTGGTGTGTCCTCGTGTCTCTCCCTCTGTCAGGATTCAGTGTTTTTGGGGAAAGTCATCGGATGATGTTTTAGCAAAACAAAAACCGTCAAACTGCCACCTTTCCATACGTTTTCTTCCTCTCCAGGTTTCGTTTCTGTCCTGATTTGTCTTGATCTGAATGATGCTTTGAGCTCTTTTCTTTATATAACTATGCAAAGCATTGTAAAATGGTTACATAATTACGACTTTGATAATGATGTGTTCATTAAAAGTTAAGTAGATAAATGCTGCCTGTGTGTGTGGGGGGGTGTCGGTTCACAATGCAGGCTCATAAAGTCGAGGAAATATTTAACAATGACTAATTACCCCATGCTGGCAAATTCCACAACTTATAGTCAGTGATTTAAACTAAATTTAAAGGAAATGTACATGTCATATCGCTAATTCTCTGGTAATTAATAGTATTATTGAAGAAAAGAAATGTAAAATAATGAGGGGGAGGCATTTAACGAATCCTTATAGTAATATCTGCGGGTTTGTAGTATGTGATCTAGACCAGAAGGGGAGGGAAGCACTCTGGTCCAGCAGGGTACTGTGAAGTCTGAAATGTATCCTCCTATTTTGTATTTTTATTTTTTCTCTCTAGTCATATAAATAGAAGGACCCAGTTTGAGAACCCAGTCCTGGAGGCGAAGAGGAGGCTCCAGCAGCAGCAGCAGATGCAAAGTCAGGGTCTGTCCTCACTGCCCCTTCCCACCATCTACAGAGGTAAGAGACGATAATTCTGCATATAAAACATGCAGGTTATGAAAGATGCATACCCTTTCTTTACAACGTTTGAGTTCGATTGAGGTTTAACCGAACATCCAGTAGTAAACTGCAATTCTTTTGAAAATAGTTTCTTGCAGCCTGAAGTTTGCATGTTTGCAAGAGCGTGCATTTTCTTTTTAGGAGCAATATTTCCTCAGCTTGCATTCAAAACTTGTAATGCTCACATTCATCACTTCTGCTCTCAAATACATTCTCAGATCTAATGCTTCTTGCACAGATATTTTCTCCTCTCGTTTACTTGCAAACCAATCTCTGCTCAAATCAGAGATACGCTCGCAAACTCTCTGACTCTGCTTGTGGATTTTTTTTTTCACTTACACTGGAGTCGGATCGTCGCCTAGCAACCTTTCCAGCCAACAGAACATCCGCCTCAGAAAGGGTGCGCTTGTTTTCTGACACTCAATTTGCCTGTTACTGCTTACTCATAACAAAATAGATTTTTAAAATAAGAAGCTGAAAACACAAAAGATTTAGGAAATAATAAAAAAATAAAAATGATCACCTAATTTTCTGTGGGAGGCAGAATTGGCATCTCCCCTGAATAGCATACTATGAAGTGGGAGCCTGAAGATGGATCGACTCCGAGACTCTTAAGCAAGAGTATTTGTACTTCGTTACTTCCCATCTCTGACATCATCAATGCTAAACCGGCGTGTTGGAGTCACCAGACATGCAGTGACGGGGGGGACAGAGGCCACACAGCTGCCGGCGAGGGTTTAGGCCAGCTTTATTTGCCAATGGGAAGGAAGCCAAATTCCGATTATTAGCAGGTCAACCCATGTTTGAAAAACCCGGGTTAACAAGCTAATTTCAGAAGGAAAGAGGCCTGAGAGAGAGCGAAAAAAAAATCCACTAGCAGAGCCAGATTGTTTGCGGGCGCATATTTGAGAAGAAAGTAAAGGAAAGGGGAAAATATCTGTGCAAGATGCCTTAGACCTAAAGGCAGAAACAAAGATTTGATGGAAAAGAGAATGAATTTGAGTGAAAGCAGAAGTTTTGAATGTGAGCATTAAAATGTTTAAATGCAAATAGAAGAAATCCTGTTTTCAAATGGAAAATCTGGCTCTTGGTTCTTGGCAGGGAAAATCCTCCATATTACTCAGTATAAGCATTTATATGCACACAAAAACATGACATGCAAAAGGAAAGTTAAGTATTTTGTCCCAAATCTGAACATATTTTAGTGCAAAATCAAACAAAAGAAAAAGCCTTTTTGAAGCTGATGGATGGAGGTTATAACAGGATCCAATGAGAAACGTAATCGATGCCAGCATGGGCTGAAAGGCCGCTCAGCGAGGAAGAAGTCCTTACAGTTTGCAAATGCTTTCTGAGACCTTAATAGACATACCAAGTGGTTTGGTTAAACTAAAACTGAATTATTTCGCCTTAATTAGAGTAGGAATCTTAGAGCATCATTTTAATTGTGTTGTTATGGGTTTCCAAATCATGTTGTTTGGGATATATTTTGTTTAAACAGGGATTGGTGCAGGTCACAAACCAGATTACATCCATGCAAAGAGCATTACATTAACATTTTAAAGCAGCAACTAAATATGTCAACAGGGAAGTTCAACCTATTATCCAGTTGGCTAATGGTCCTAAACTTACCACCAAATGAATCCTTTACAAAAGGTGCTAAAAATAACAAATCTATGTTTTAGAGTTGTTCTGAAAAGGCTTCTTTTAAGAAAAAGGCTACAATTCCAGTACTATAATTTACAGTATATATTTATTTATTTAATATACTTTAACTATTTAGAGGATACATAAAATGTATAACCCTGTTATCCTCTAGTTCTGCCAAAATATGAGGAAATATACGAAAGTTACTTTACCTATTTCATTTTTTTTGTTTTGTTTGGCAAATGAAAAACATTTTGATTAAATTAAACTGGAAATGTTTATTTAAAACTCTGCGTCTTAAAAACTTTGTTTCCCATGTTTGTATTTTTGGGGGTTTTGACCTTTTTGTCGTGTATTACCGTGTGACTTTCCTCACAGCAGCAGTTTTGTCTCTTCCAATGGTTGCAGCAGTCTAATCATGGGTGGTTCTAGACAGGGGCCAACGGGGGCCCCTGTAGCTCTTCTCCTGGCCCCTGTTATGGCCCCTGCACTGAAGACATAATACTTTGTTACTTATTTTTTTTCTTTACAAATTCTGTTTTACTAATAATTCAAAAACAATAAGGTGATAATAAGGCTTGAGTGGTATTGAGATAGGATCCCAGTTTTATCTACTAAATGTTTCTTTTTAATGCTCTACTTTCTACAGGTGAATTGATCGGCTTTTCTTGAGTTCTAATTCAGATTTTATTTTTAAAAAAACCACTTGAACTTAAATTATGTGAAAAATATGTAAAATCTTGAAATCCTGAATGTATATTGACCTAATAAGAAATAGTTTTAATTAAACCTAATTGAATGGAAATGTTACTTTATGCAGCTCTCTTAATTTATTTGAATCCCTTGCCCTGTTTTTTTTTTTTTTTCACACTTTTCTGTGCCCCCTTGAAAACAACGCTGGCCCCCTCCTGGCCCCCTGGTGCATTTGGTCTAGAACCGCCACTGAGCGTGATGCTCGCTGATATGAACATCATGCATGTTTTTTTGCCTGATTCTTGATTTTAAACTGCATCGAAAATGTGTGTTCTGCAAAAAGAACAAAGAGAAAGTCTCCATCCTGAGAAATAATGTGATTCCTTTTTATTAGTTATGAAATTATAAAGAAGTTGGGAATCTTTTGTTAGTTAGATAAGGTCAATATTCTTGCTTGAAGTGAAATCATTTGGTTGTATCCAAGTAAACCTGTTGGCTGGTTTTGTTTAATGTCCAGTTTACCATTCTCACCTCCCATCACCTCCCAGCGGCGGGATGTGCTGCTGTGAAAGAGTCTGTCTGGACTGTGGAAGCGGAGGTTTGTTTCTCTAGTCCCTCTCCCCTCCAAGTGAGGAACCCACCATCGTTAACCCTGTGTGTCCCATCCAGTGAGGCTCTCTCTCCTCGTCTCCCCTCTTTACTTCCTCCCTGCTCTTCCTTCTTTCTCACACTTTTAACACCAGTGGAGGATGCCGCGCCCAGCACCACCCTCCTCAGACGCCTTCGCTCCCAAATCGGCCTGGTGCCTGAGCGCTGCCACAGCCTTGGTGACCTCTCCCGCTCCCCGACAACCGGCCGCAAGGCTCCTTCGTACGCCGCGTCTTCTTCAGCCGACGTTTCCCCGCTCCGGAGCGTTTTGACCCGCCGGATGACCACGTGCCCTCATGGGCAGCGGCATCCTCAGCCCCTTCATGCCTCCACCTGCACTGTGCTGCTCGAGCAGCCGCTATGCAGCCCCTTTTCCCTGTGGCACATTGTCAGTAAGTAGGAGGAGGAGGAAAAAAAAAGGAGGCTAACTGTGGTTCTCATGGCTGCCTGCGCTCGTGACTTACTGTACGCATGCAAAGCTTCTCCCTTGAGGCAAATCAGGGATTTGTGCAATGACTGTGCACTATTGCTTGTTTTATCTCCTTGCATAAGCAAACCCAGAGAGGGTAATCACTCAGTCTAAATCCAGACCGGTGACAAAGGATGTAAACTCTCATGTTGGCCACATCTCGTCTCCGAGGTGGAAGAATGTGGGACTTGCTTTAGTGTGACTAATCTTGTTGGCTGAGATGCTCTCATTACCACTCAAGGCGCTCCTTTAGAAATTCCCCAGCTCTACGTACCCTCTATAAAATAAAATAAAAATCTCCCTGTTTCTCCCTAAAACTCCCAGAGCATCTTCCTGTGGAACTGATCCCCTGCTGAGAGCATGTTTTCTGCTGATTTTTTGCTGCTTGGGATTGGATCCGTGAACTGCACCCCGCTGCACTCTGCACGCCCTCTGCTCCGTCATTCAGCTTTGGAGGAAAAGAGTTAGAATCCGATGATGTTTGGGTGGATTTTGCATCTGTACCCTACACAAGAATAAGAGTTGCTGAACCTCGCCTGCATCTGTTGGCCCCACAGCCCGACCTGTCTGCAGTTATGCTGTTTTGGCTCTTAAAATCCTGCCCTGCCACTTTCCCCTGCAGCTCCGTCCTTTTTCAGCAGACAGGCTCTCCCATATGTCTCCACCCTCTGAGTGCCAGCCTGCTCATCCTTTAAAGACACTTAAGGGATTCATTAAAAAAGAAACAACAATAAAAAAACGGATTTAACTGAGGAGTATATATTTAAAAGTTTTTTTTTTTTCTTTTCTTTTAGAAAAACCGCTGTTCACCAGAGATCCGACTCAGCTGAAAGGCAGCTTCCTGTCCACGTCACTCCAAAAGAGCAACATGGGATTCGGCTTCACCATCATCGGAGGGGATGAGCCCGATGAGTTCCTCCAGGTTAAAAGCGTTATTCCCGATGGACCTGCCGCAGCTGATGGGAAGATGGCCACAGGTAAGGCTGACGCACACCGGCTGAAACGCAGCTTAACGGAGTCACTATTAGCAACAAACTGTCATTTATCTGGATTTATCTGACAGTTTAACAAATAAAAACAGCTACAGTGCTGGCAACATGGAGTAGGCTAAACTATCTTAAACTGCAGCACATCCAATTTATAGAAATTTAGAGAAAATATGCATTTGTTTGCATATTTTATACAAAGGGTAACAGTAATTTCTAAGGTTTTAGGACTCCTCGAAACCACAGTGAAAGCAATAATGGGCAAACAAGGAAAAATGGATCACTGATGGACCTTCTTTGATGCTGCATGTTCTTTCATTTCCATCTTCTCTATCCTCTTTATGTGCTATATATATATATATTTTTTTTACTTTTATCCTTAGAAAAGGTTTAAGATAAGATTCCTGAAAGCAGGCTGACAGTGATACAAACTACTAGAAATAATACATGTTTAAATACAGTATGTAATGAATCAAATACAATTTATATGAATCAATGAGAGGAGTAATTGTTATATTTTATAATTATTTTTTAATTGTTGTGATTCTTATTTTGCTCTCCATTTTAAAATATACATCAGAAACACATTTAAGGTTTATTTCTATATTAACTACAGCTAGTTACTAGAAAAAACAACGGAGGAGACTCATCCACGACCTCCGACCCTAAACTCTCCTCTTCTTCCATGTTTCCTCTGTCCATAGGGTTCCTTGACAGCGTCATTTCTAAGTCACCAATTTAGTGCTACTTGGTCCCAATGGAATTTCCCATTGGGACCCTGCTAGCACTAAGTTGCTAACTGGTTAGCAGGATGCTTCCGACAAACCGGCCACAACCGAACTTGCTTCTTAACTTTCCGCCGCAACAATCCCGCCCTCTTGATAAACAACCAATCACATTCACTTTTTTCAATCGTGTAAAGTAGTGCACCACTCGGGAGAATTCGGATATGCAACGGTTGGAACAACAACTTCCCTACAACTTTAAGATTTGATTATTTTAGGCTTTTCTCAAACCTTAATATGATTTATTAGACTTTTAAAGGCCTGACTCCAGCCTGCCTACTTGACTTTGTCGTTGTTCTGTAGTCCCGATAAGATCTACTCGAGTAGCTTCTCAACATGATGGTATCATGGACATCTGGTCAGTCTGAATTCTTAGTAAAGACCACGGCTTCCCATTGTATCGAAACATGTGCTTCCATAAGGAATTAAAGGAATTAAAACAGCTACTAAAAGGTTCTCAATACTGTAGCAGTTATTTTCTCTGTCCATGGTCCTTAGCTGCTTTGTTGATTACTTAAACTAAAAACAAAAAAAAATACTGTTAAAATGAACTTCTTAGTTTATTTTTACAATAAAAATGAAAAAGTTTAAATTTAGTAAAATACTATAAGTATACAAATACAAACTCAAACAAAAAGCTGGGTTTTAGCTACTATAAGGTTCTCAATACTGTAGCAGTTATTTTCTCTGTCCATGGTCCTGACTTTTGTGTATGCGGGAATGATTTTTGAACAAACTGATATTAGAAGATTGTATTTGGGTGAAGGATGAGTGGCAGGTTGAACTCCTGTTGTTTATTTACTTTTTTTATTTGTTGAAAGTAGCATGGATTTAATATGAATTGTTCCGTGCTGAAGGGAAACTCAGCCTTGGAATATTGGTCGGATTTTTTTGGCACCTCAACTGAACTATTTGAACTGCTGCTCAAAATAACATAATCTGTATTAACATTACCTAATGTCACACTATTTAGATGCTTCTCTTCCCTGAAAATGAATTAAAACCTAATATCTCGTTAATTTAGCTCATAATTGAGCACATAGAGCACACAGAAACATGTTGTCATAAAATCAGGGCCTCCTTCAATATGAAAGAAAAAAATCCAAAGATCAAAATAAAAGATTCGCTGTTCAGACGGAGAGCACATCAAAAGCGCTACACGCACTTCACATTTATTATGTAACGTGTGATTTTTTTACTCTCCAGCCAATGTCATAAGACAGAAAACACAGAGCTGTTTTTTCTCCTCACCTCTCACTGCAACAGGCCATTCTATTATGTTTGTTTCTGAGGATGATCTTTAAATCTAGAGCTAGTTCATCTTAAAAAGTAAGAGCCCAACTTGCACTGTCAGAAGCCCGGTTTGTAGATATATGCACATGTCCACGAAGCGACTGATTTTTTTGTTCTTCCATTAATCATAAAACGAGCTTTATGAGCCCTACAACTCTTGGCCATGTCAGCACCGGGGAAAAACTGCGGTACACACTGAGAAGATCCGTCTGCACTAAAGGTCAGCAAATGAAAAGTAGTTCTGTTGTGCCAGAGTAGTTGGCTTACAGTGATGTATGTGCTGGAGCAAATAACCTAATTATAGATATTATTCATCACATGAACTGTAAAAACATTGATCGGAAGTAGCATGCCCTCTTTAAAACACTGTTCTTGTGCAGACCTTGATAAATCTATTTTAAATCTATCGACATAAATCCCTTCCCTAGTTTTTTTTTTCTTTTCTTACAGACTTGTAGGTCCACCGGTACAAAATACGTCCCACCTGACCAATAAAGTCTGTCTCTACATTTAATTCCCTTATTTCCAGAAGACCCCTCTATTGTTTTATGTATTATTGCTCCCAAAATAGCGATCAGTTACTCCTCTTCGATCCCTTTTACTTCCTCTTCATCTCTGTCTCAGCAGCCATGCTCCAGCCCCCTCTTTTGCCTCTTCAGACTCTGTGTCCTACTTCTGCAGTTACAGATCAGGCACAATCACGCTCAGGGAGCCCGGACCTGTGAGGGGTGTGAAATTCACAATTTCACGTCGACAGTTTTTGCTTCTTTTTATGATTGAAACTCTCTTGGGGGTCTCAGTGATGCAATGACGCTATCCAGCTCACTCTTATGGATACATAGTTATTTTTTTTATTCAGATCACATCTTGAATTATTCTAGAACCTTAGATTTAATATGGAGTAAGAGTTTTTTATAACATATTGAGCAAATGGTTTCATTTGTTAAGCATGGATTTCCATTTATGCACAGGAGCAGTGCTGAAATGAAACTAGTGGCTCTGTTGGTTCAAGTTTCTACAAACTGTGAAGCCTAATTACTGTGACTCTCCTTCAGCACCAGGGGGGTGTTTCTGCTGAGCTCCATTCTTATCCATGTGCCACAGTGTTTGTTTTGTATGGATAAAACCCCCCACACCCCATCCACCCCCCAAGCGTTCTCTTCCTCAAAACCTGAGAAAAAGCCTTTCAAGCCTATGTAAATCTCAGTGGGCGTTCCTTTCAAAAATTTCACAAGTTCATTATTAGTTTGGGGGGTTTTATTTAGAATTATCCAGACCTTAAAGGTTTATGCTCGCATTATTTGATCGTTTTTAAATGTCTCTTGTTGCATACAAAGTTTTCTCGATGTTTATCAAATCCTGCTGGTCTATTATTTGCTATCTTCACAACAAAAAATGCCTTCTCAAAAATAAGAAAAAAACATATTGTTTTAAGTGAATTATTGCTTATTTTTAGCAAAATAATCTACCAGTGCAGCAAGCAAATGAGACTTGGTAAGATTTCTTAAAACGAGAACATAAAATCGAAGTAGTAAGCATCCAAAAAAAATTTAAATCAAGTATAAAAATCTTTTTTTTCTTTTACTCGTTAAGATTTTTTCTCTTATTTTAAGCAATTTATTCTCATTTATTAGTCATTATTGCTTAGAATTAAATACCCTCTAACCAATTATTGCCCAAAACAAGCATACAACAGGCTTAAAAACAAGGCAAATGTACTTGATACCAGTTCATTTAAAGGCTTAAAACTAGTCTATTTTTCATAGCTAGAATTAATTTAATCATTTAGGTGTAGTGAATGTGGGAAAAATACACTTGACAAAAACTTCAAAACGTTTTTTTTATTTATATTTTAGCAGAAACGTCACAGAATTAAGGGAAATACACCCCCTACATCATGAACAACAATCTCAATAACCCTATCAATTTGAATGCAATCAGATTTGATTAGCTGGAATATCTTAATGAGATGGGGTCAGTTCTTAAAACAGGTTAATATGGATTGTCTTATTGTCTTGAAACAAGTAAAAATGTACTCACAGTCCAAATGTTAACCCGACTCAGTCCGCAATGTGAGCTACTTTAAGAAAAAAGCTGCTCAGAATTAGTTGTATTATCTAGTTAGGATTAAAAAATGAATTTTCTTAAAACAAATCAAATAATCTTAAGAATATTCAGTCTTACTAAGAAAATACATTGAAAAACAAGTGTAATAAGACCAAAATGCTGAATTCAAGTTTATTAAACTTGTATAGATTTTCCTTTTTTGCAGTGTTTGTGTTTCACACATTTTTTTTTTGGCTCAGTTTGTTAGTAAAGGACACACTTAGTGAATATTTAGAGTAACAGCAGAGGCAGGATGATGCGCATGTGTACAGTGGATAAATAAGTTAGTAGCCATATTGCGGCTAGGCTATTAGCACCTTCCAGCAAAGGGTGGAAAAAATTAAGACAAAAAATTATAAAATCATATTTGAAAATTTGCAAAAAAATTATTATTTAATTCCAAGAAGGATACGACTGGAACAACACTAAGAATACAGCATGAATGTTGGTGTTTACCGAAACTAAAAACTAAATGGTCTTAACTTAAAGTTTAAAACATAGTTTATTTTCATAAATATATTTAATGATACATTTCTCAGAACTATTGCAATGTGCAATATGGTAAATGATTTGTTTGGTTTCGTTTTTGTAAAGTTTTTTCACCTGCCTTATTAAATATCTTATCTGTAAACAACACAAGAAGAAAAATAAAAAAGGAAAAGATGAAACCACAGTTTGGCCATTGAGTGGAACCCAGTTTAATGTTCAGCTTAATACAACCCTTCAAGTGTGGGAATAGCACAGCAAAGATTGAATCACTTGACAGAAACTAAGTTGATGCTAAGTCAAGCTGCCAAGGATGCCTGA